TGACCTGAAATTTATCACTGTAGGAACAACTGCAATCCCTAAAGCTTTGTTTTTATGTTGGAAACTTTAAAAGTTAAAATTTTTAATAGTTGAGATGAGTGTAATAGAAAACATTTAAACCACATTGATTCAACTTTATTTTGAAAATGCTTTAACTTGTAAACATAAAATTTCTTTTTTTTTTTTGAAGCAGGCTCTCTGTAATTCTGGCTGACCTTGAACTCACTATGTAGCCCAGGCTGCCTTGAACTCTCAGCAGTCTTCCTGCCTCATTCTAGAATATGCAAGCATGTGTCACCACACCCAGTGTAAACACAAAATTTCAATGCTTACAGTTGTATTTTCTTTCCCTCTGGCCTCGTCCTAGACATTTTTTATGGCTTGATGTTAATCTGAAGAAAACATGCAGTTTTTGATATTTAGAGTTTTTTGGAGATGACACTTTTCTATATAGAGTTTTGTCTTCTATGGTATTTTCTTTTTTGTGACAGAGTTTTTACTATATATAGCTCAGGCTGGTGTTGAACTCACCACATATCCCAGGCTGGATGTGAGCTCATGCCTCAACCTCTTGAGTGCTGGGATTGCTGGTATACAGCACCATGTTAGGCTTTGTCTTCTATTCATACTCTTTCTAGAGTAGAGATGTTCAGACAGTGTTTTCTGTTTATTCAAACTGTACATGTATTTCTCATTTTTGATGGTTAGTAATGAATATGCAGCGCATTCTCCTAAATGTTTACACATTAGATTTTTCATTTTAGTAGTATTTAGTAAATAGTCTACTGTGTAATGAAACATATTTTCATAAATAATTTCTTCTAAAATGCAAATTAGAGATTTGCTTCTTTCTGTGTTCCTTATGCTCACACTCCACTCCCTCACTTGAAACCATACACACATGTATATGTATACATTTTGTCTTCTTGGGTCCTTCGGCTAGGTGATTTCTAAATTTTTGAGTGTTATCTGGATTGAAACTAAATGCGATGACTGACCCCTCTCTCTGAACCCTTTGGTGCTCAAAGAAGGTGTCTCTATGAGGTCCTTTAGCAGCAATAAAGGGGTTGGAGAAATCAAAGTAATAAAGAGAAAGGGCGGAATTTTCTGGGGGCTTAGAAGGGGGAGGGCAAAGTAGCAAACCATACAGTGGTGATTATTCTACCTTTCCTTGGACAATGATGTAGCAGTAGAGAGGAGGTGCAGAGGTGCAGAGTTTCTATGTATCTTTGGAGTACAGAGGAATTCATTGGTCCAAGGAAAAGTGGAATGATAGGCTAAAACTTGGCAGTGCTCTGCAGAGAAAAGATGATGCCAAGTGTAGCTTAAGCCAGGATGGCTTGTTTGGTTTTTAGATGTTTTTATATGAATAGATCAAGCTTATATCTTAAGCTCAAACAAAAATATAAAAACCTTATTTGTGATGATCTCCTTTAACTTAATCCTAGCAAAGCAATTGCTTAACTAGTTGGGTTTATGTAGGGGAAAGATAAGGCACCAACCCAAGCAGTGGTGTTTTCCTCAGAACCTCTCCCATGCAGGCCGTGTACAGCAGAGTGTACGTGCAAAAGGAAGCCAAAAGTGGAGTGAGCCATTACTACTTAATAATGAGTGGGAAGATGGGGCAGTGGACCAGTATTTGAAGTCTTGTGTTCTTTGAATCCACACTATAACCTGTGAAAAAAAACTGAGCAGTGGAATGAAGTCATTTAGCTAAGAGAGTGTAGGTATAGTAACCTGAGTTACCTGCTGCCAAAAATCTGTACTTTCTATGCAAGTGCCAATCTCATCTTTTATGGTGAGAACAACTACAGATTCTTTTCTTCATCTTTATTACCCTGATTTCTCCAACCCCTTTATTGTAGCTAAAGGATCTCATACAGATTAGTGAGGATACAGACATGGCATAAAATGTATGAGTTGATGTTCTTAAAAAGTACTTGGTGGATTGCTTATTTTTCTTGCTTTGTAATTGTAACAGGTAGAAAATATTCAAGATTTCAATCAGGAGAAAGAGCATCTGGATTAACCACAAATAAATAGTGTAAAATTTACTTTTTAGAGTGATGCTTTTAATGATTATAGAAAACTTACAAAGTTTAGGATTAAAAACTTTTGTCTCAGAACTGTGATAGCAGATTTGTCAAGTGTGCAGTTTAGTTAATCTTATGTGTCATAAGCATGGAATGTGCTTATGTTAATGGGTAAATTTGAGACTGGAAGTGTTTCCATGAATAACTTTACTTGAAGTGACTATTTTGGTATTGTTCAAATTCAAACAGTTTTGTTAGTAGCAGTACAATTGTTTTAACAGCATGGAAGAATCTTTCAGCGCAACAGTAGTATTCATAGGTTTGTTCTATCCTATGATCAATAGAAAGGGTTGAATAATAGCTCCTCCATGATCTGAGTTATTTTCCCTTTCAAGAGATGCTTCTTTTAAAAGGTATATTAAAAACTGCTAAATTGTACCTGTCTCATAGTTCTGGGTGGAAAGAATCTCCTTTGAAAGACTATTGCAGATTTTCACCCTGAGTTAATATTTATGCACCATTTTAGAGTACAAATTGTGATGACACATGCTTTAAACATACTCTGTTCAATCTTGGTTCACTAATATAGGTTTAAGATGACCTTGGAACACAGAATCTTTAATTTGGCTTCTTACTAAAAGACAGTTGGAAAGGCCACCATTCCCTTCCTTTATTGAAATTTGTATATTACTGACTTGTCATTGTTTGAATATTGGAAATGAAGACTGACAGTCATAATTTAACTCTTCAGTATACTTAAAATATGAAAATTTTGCTTTGTTTATGATAAATACTAAATTTAAGCTAAGTTATAAGGTATGCTGTTTGGAAATATGGAAGATACAAGAATGAAGCCAGATAACAAGTTTATGCTTGTATTTTCTACTGATGAAGACTTTCAGAGAAGTTATTTCTATGGGTAGGTGATGTCACTCTGCATGTATATATACACATATATTTTTTTGCATGATTATACATGTAGGAGTGGTACAATTTTGACTTGACCTTTTGCTTCAATTTGGGGGTAGAGGTGGGGAATGTGAGGCAAGAGTCTCTGAATGGTGTTAATGATACAAATTTTAAAATAAATTGCTAATTTATTGTAAACACTTGGACAAAACCACAAAGCCTTTTGAAAAATAGAACATATGGTCAAATAGTCAATATTGTACTTGGCCTTCCTATATTCTGCTCCTAAGTATTTGGACATCACACAGTATTTTGATTCCATAATAATCATTTTGAACTCTGACGAAAACTATAGAATGATGCAGCTTTCTTTTCTTTTTTTTTTTGGAAAAGAAAACCTTTAAACATATACTTTTTTTTTTTGCTATTTGAACCAAAATTCATGATCAGCTGAAACTAAGGCCACTTTGTTAAATTTTATGGACTTTAATGAACTTGATCTACCCTGTTAGGGGAACTGGAAATAATAGTCAACTAAAATTATCATGATCGTCAGAATTTCATTTGTGAAATTGTCTGTTCTTTATACTGTGGCACCTAACAATTCATTTGCTTTTATATTTGGTCATTTTTATTTTTAAAATCTTGTTATATAAACCTGTAGTTTTGGAGCTTAGTTTTCAGAGATAAATACCACTGTGTGTTCCATGTTTTTGTTTAGTAGCAGTTTACATAATGGATACATGTATTAAATTGTTACATTTTTATGATTCATTAGCATACGTATTTCTTCCTGGTCAAAAGTTTTATAAAATAGGTATGTTTAATCATTTGTTGGGTGATATTTTAAAATCTATATGGAAATAAATGGTTTGCTTGCACTTCATAAAGAGCTATGGAAAGAGAATTTTAGCTTTAATCTAGGCAAGCATTCCATTAAGTTATATCCTCAGCCCTTATTTTAGCTTTTTCTAAAATGGGGGTGGTAGAGGGATTTCTTGAATGAAATTTTAGTTTTGCTTTTGCTGCCAGGAAAAGGTTATCATTGGCATTTTAAAGCATGTATCTATTTTACAAGCATGAATATTGTTTTATTTTAAGCATGAATTGCTACAGTTTAATTACTTTAGAATTCAGCTTTACCTTTTTCAGCTAGGTAGAGTGACTTGGGCATGGGAAGGATCTCTTATTTTTCCAGTAAGAATTTTAATATCTTCCTCTAAAGTCACTCATCAGATTGCTTTATCATAAGCTGGGCGTGGTGGCGCACGCCTGTAATCCCAGCATTTGGGAGGCTGAGGCAGGAGGATTGCCAGGAATTCAGGGCCAGCCTGAGCAGCATGGTAAAACCCTGTCTCAAAAAGATATTGTGTATAATTTATTTGGAGTGTAAGCTGGTTGTCTTTCTCAGGGAAAAGAAAATATAAATATAACTCATAAAACATGGGAAGCATAATCCTGAAAATGGGGTTTGGGGATATTGTCTTTTTGTAGAATGTTATAATGTGTATAACTTTCCTGTTATTATAAAAAGGCTTTACTGGAAAATTTTTAAGTAGAGCTCTCATGTTAATTTTATTTTTAGTAAATAGGAAAATATATATTTGATTTTCTTCTCTGACTCTATTAGGAACTTTTAAGTATTAAGTGCTAAGAGAGAGAACTAGATTCATTCTCTTAAAAATAAGAGTTAACAATTTATGTCAGTTTTCCTTTAAAAAGTCAGTTTCGCTTTCTTTGTGGAATCATCCCATTTTTCTTAATCTGTTGCTCTACGAGTATGAGGGAAATTCAGTGTAACATTGTTCGGTATAGTCTTGTTGTCTTCTGTTCTTCATAACTTTTTCCTTCTTTTAAAATGTGTTCCTCATCTTTGTAAGGTTAGGGTATCTTTTCCACTTTCACATCATGTCCAAAATATTAGATGTGTCAAGTATAGCTTTTCTAGTCAGATAGACCAGTAAGGTAAAGGCAGCTGGCATTTAGAGGACTCTTAGTTTCAGAATTATTTTTTACCCCAAAAGTTAGATACAAGTATACATTTTCTTTCCTCCCTAGATGGACCTCCAGTTGTAGCTCATTATGATATATCTGACACCAGCTCTGACCCAGAAGTGGTAAATGTGGACAATTTATTGGCGGCTGCAGTAGTTCAAGAGCACACTAATTCTGTAGGCGGCCAGGACACAGGAGCTACCTGGAGGACCAGCGGGCTTCCAGAGGAGCTGAATGCAGAGGCAGGTTGGTCTCCCCCGACTCTTTCTCTAACAATATAATGTGCATGTGTCCCAGCAACTGTTTCTCCTGGTAGTGGACCCTGCTGAGGAGAGCAAGCCATACCAGAGCCACCTGGCATTGAATGAGTGTGATGTCCACGCCGCCGTGTATAACTGAAAAGATGTGGGTGGCATGTCTTTCATCTCTCCTAATTGGAAAGAAGCAGTGGTATTAATAATAGTAATAATAATAATACTAACTGTAGGCATCAAATGTCAGCAGGCATATTTCTTGGATTAAGAATGCCCAATGTGTACCTAAATAGTGCAGATGCCTTGATATTCTTTAGCCAGGCCTTCCCCCCTCTTAACTCTGAATAGCCGGCTCGTGGCTTAATCGGGAGTGACGGCGTTGTTTCTCTGCAGCACTGCTGCTGCTGCTGCTGCTTTTCTGCTCACGAGGGTGGATCTCCAGGATCCCTCTTTGTCTTTTCACTTTCCGACTGTTTTCTCCAAAAAATCTCTCTCTTCTGTCTTGCGTTATTTTTCTTGGTTCTATGATTATTCTTAAGAGTGATATTTAATTCTCTATTTTAAAAAAACACAAACCTTGTAATTACCTTGGAATTCTCTCGATGCCTTCAAATTTTCTCAGTATTTTTCTGAAACACTCTAATTTAAACTTTTTTTTTTAAGTTCTAGTATATAAGATAAAAGGCGAAGGGAATGAGAAAACAGACTTCTTTTAGAATGTATATTTTCATTAGTTTTTTTTTTTTTTCTTTTTTGAGACTCTCACTATAGTTCAGGCTATTCTTGAACTCACTATGTATCCCAAAACTAGGGCAATCCTCCTGCCTCAGCCTCCTGAGTACTGGGATTATAAACATGTGCTATCTTGCCTGACCTTTAGTGTTTTTGAAGGATTGTTTGCATAGTTTTTTATCCACTAGTGTAGTAGCTGAATCACTACTGTATTCTTTTTTCCCCCGTCAGCACCTAAGGGTACTCTGCACTGACCTACACCCCAGACCTTATTTTATTTTTTTGGGTGGGGGGCAGAGTCTCACTATGTAGCCCAGATCGTGGTGGTCTTTCTGCCTCAGCCTCCTGAGTCCTGGAATTATTAGCATACAACATCACATCTGGTATCCCCGGTCTTTAAAAAAAAAATATTTTTCAAAGTCAGTACTGACTAAATTTCCCAGATTGGCCTTGCACTTGTGAGCCTCCTTGCCTCACCCTTCCGAGTAGTTGTGATTACAAGTGTGTACTGGTCTAAAATAATATATATATATTTTTTGTCTTTTTTTATCGCCACTGGAGATCGAACTCCCAACTGCCTGCTTGCAAGGCAGGTGCTTATGCCGCTGAGTTAAACCCCCAGCCTAAAATAATATTTTTATGAAAAATGAATTTTATGTTACAAAAAATGTTATAGCTTAGAAATTTCTGTATTAAAACAGAACACTATGATTATTGTCCTGAATTCTTCCTCTCATAATCTTTGAATTAAGCTGAGAAATCACTTATTGAACCTATCATTAATTTATTGTGGCTAGTTTTGAAATAGGACCTGGGTTTTTAGTTTTTGCCTTTTAAAAAAAAATTTTTTTTTTTTATAGCCAGGTGGTCTGTTTGATTTTGGATCAGTCATTTCTTCTCTGGGCTTTGGTTTTTACATAAATAAATACTTGTTTGTGCAAGGAGAGGGGTGTCAGCACATTTAAGGATTTATTAATACTATAAGTACTTTGAAAAGAATTAATACTTTGTATCAAAGGACAGTAGTTTGATCACACTTTGTACAATATATGTTTCTAAGCTGTGACATCTATTCTGTATACTAGATGGCTTATCTTTTCTCCATTGACACTAAGTGATCCATTACGTTTAGTTTTTCCCTGTTCCCTTAGTGTTGCCATTAAATATGAACTGCATTATAAATTCTTGCAGAAAAAAAATAAATGTCACACGATTTTGCTCTTCATATAGACAATTGTTAATAGTAGGTTGAGCCATATGGAATCATTAATACTAGACTTTTTGATTTACCAAAACCAAGTGATTTCATTTGATTTGATCAACTGGTATAGAGATTGAGGTCTTTATGACATCATTAAAGTTACTGGCTTCAGGAAAGCACTCACATTTTCAGCTTTAAGTACAGTTGTCCTTAGTATCCATGGGGCATTGGTTCCAGAATTTTTCACATAACTTATAAATAGCCTCTGTATACTTTAAGTATCTCTACTTAAGTACCTGTGATATCTAGTGCATTGTAAATGTTTTATAAAGTTATATGGTAGAGAATAGTGACAAACAAATGTGTACATGTTCAATACAGACACGGGTTTCTCCTTAATATTTTTCATTAGAAGTTGGTCTGTGGATATGGAAGGCTCACTATAATTGTTAGCTTGCCCAAAAACATCACTTGAACTCAGGGATCTACTGCTATTCTTTTAAAGACTACAATGTGGCAAACATATGTCAAGAGGGATGTACCTGTATAGCTTCAGCTCTCTGCCCATCTATCTGTTACCCTTGTTAGCTAGAGCTGTCCTAAATTTGGTATTTGGTATGCCTATGTATTTCTTTGTATAATTCTACTTCCATTTGTTGTGTATCTAACTCGCTATCACACTTTAGTCCTTACTAGCCTACTGTGCAAGAGACCTTGGGATTAATTAATGAAAAACTAATTGGTACCACATTTCAGGTAATCATTTGCAACTTATTTTTTTTGAGGGGTGGGGTTGTTGCGGAGCCTTTTTTAGTTCAACATTTTATGAGCTTTGTGCTTTTTGTTTTGTTCTTTTGAGACAGAGTCTTGCTATATAGTTCAGGCTGGACTTAAACTCACTATGTAGCCCAGGCTGGCCTTGAATGGTGCTTTTGCCTCAGCCTCCTGAGTCCTGGTATTACAGGTGCCACCACGACATCTGGCTCTATGCTTGTTAGGTGTGGGTCTAGTTCAGTGATTCCCGCCCCCCCCCCATTGCTATTTAGTATTCCATTGTACAAATATATCACAGTTTAAGCATCATCTTGTTGGACATTTAGGGTTGTATTTTAAATGATGTTGTCATTAACATTTCTTGTATTTCTTTGTATAGATGTGTAATAGTTTGTTGATATATGTGTGTAATAGTTTCTATAGGCTGTGGTTAATGGTTAACTCTCTACCATACATAGAAAGTACATGTGCATATTGGGCCATAAATTGTGTATGTAAATTTTTGTTAAGGGTATAGGAAGTCACCACTTGAAGCCATTTTTTTTACTCTTTCAAAGTAGTTTTTATTTTACATCTGACAATGTAGGAATGTGAATAATAAATTGAACATTATTCATAGTTGGAATGTGTGTGAAGCTAAATAAACATAGTGTCATAACAAAAAATTAATAGAAATTTTTGTGATTGCCACAAATTTCAGGACTTAACTACTCTTAAAGTTTGAATATAAAGTAACTGTTCTGATGGTTAACCTGTTATTTTCCTATTCCCTTCAAGAAAGTTAGTCACTGAACAAACTATCCAGGTGTTCACTTTGTAATCAATATCAGCATCTCAGTCCAGGTCAAAATCTCCACTGTATTTACAGTCATGTCAGTAATAACTCAAGATGCAGTAGCTTGCTTCTTTTTTCAAAGGAATTGAATGGTCTTTTTATATCCAAAATAGTTGTTACTATTTGTTTTGGTTTTAAACTATGCAAAAGAGTTGAGTAACAAGCAGATTTAAAAAACTAAAACAAAATCAGGAAAGCCCCTGATCAATAAGAGATATATGATTTCTATTTACTTTTTCTTACTCGATGCTAGAATTATATAGAATTGGTTTTTGAGTCAGCTGCCACTTAGAACTGTGTGACCGTAAGGTAAATTATGTAAAGCATCAGTTTTCCCTGCCTGCAAACCTGAGATAAAAGTAGTGTCTTAGTTACTTTCTCGTTTGCTGTTACAGTACCTGATACACCACAACTTAAAGAGGAAACACGTTTATTTTGGCTCACAGTTTCAGAGGTTTCAGTTCATAGTTGATTGGCTCCAAGAAGGGCAGGTGGCATGGCACAGGTAAAGGTCCTTCTTGTCATGAAGCAGAAATAGAAGGGTGATCGGGAGAGATAAATCCTTCCAGATCACAACCCCAGTGATCTACCTCCTCTGACCAGGATTCATCTCTCAGCATCACATTTAGCTGTAAACTCAATAGTGGATTAATTTAATGATAAGTGTCATGGTCCCATGATCCAGTACCTCCCAAAAGCTCCATCTATGAACATGTGAGGCTGTGGGGAGACATCCAGATATAAACCATAACAAGTGGTATCTGCCTCAAAAGAATATTGTTACATCAAGTGAAGTAATGTATACATTGTGCTTAGTACAGGCACAGCACAGAGTAAACCCTCAGGAATGCTAATCAGCATTATGTTAAGAGTAATGAGCTGAAGTATAACTAAGAAACGAACTGATTTGGATCAGTCAGTGGATTTCTAGTTTACTGTCCTTCCCTGTAGTGCTACAGTGTTTCCTCAACTTTGCCTGAGGTAGAAATTACCCAAGGTGCTTATAAAATTCAGACTTCTCTGTTTATCCCTTCATGTTCTGTTAGTAAATCTGAAATATGGTTTGGGAATCTTTTTAATGATAACTCCTAAGTAACTCCTGTAGCCAGGGTGTTTAGAAAACTGTACTAGCATATCTGAAAATAGCTTTATTTTTGTTAATTGCTTGTAGTTTTTCAGTATAAACATAAAAGAAACAAGTCTGAAGTACTCTTGGATAAAAGGTTTATAAAAGTGATAAAACTATTTAGATATTTTTGTCCTGAAAAATTTATAAATTCTAAACATTCCCCCCACACCCACTCACACCCTTGCTTTCTGGTTAAGAAGGTAGGCTATAAACTAGGCATGGTGGCACATTTCTGTAATTCTAGCCATTTGGGAGGTTGAGGCAGGAAGATCTCAAGTTCCAGGCCAGCCTTAAAAAAGCAATGGTAATCTTGATATGTCC